AAATTTAAAATAACGCAAAGAAAAATTGTTTTAGTGTGCTCTTTACTTATATTTGGTTCTATCAACCAAAACACCACGGGTTTGTATTTTAAAATCAAAAACTATATGTTTATAGTAATTAGTCACCAGTCACCACCGGTGAATATTGAACATGTGGCCAATTGGGTACGTCACTCGGAGCCGACTTAGTTTCAACTATGGCGGACGGTGGTCAAAACTAAAACATTTTCAGTACTTTTCTTAATAATTTTAAAAAAAAAAAACAAAAAATTCTACTCAAAACTAAATTTTGTTTCTGACAAAATTTAGTTTTTTATTTTGTTGTAATTTAAAATTAAATAATTGTAGGTACTTGAAATTTTCACCAAATGTTTATATTAAAATTTTCTCTATGTGGAATAATTTTCAAAATATTTTTTCTTTTTTTGAACCATTATAAAAATTTGACATTTGACATTTTTTTATTTGTGTACAAGGTTACTAATAACTAAACATTATACTGGAACCTAAACATATAAGAAATATAAAAATATATAAACACATTTTCTTATGATTTTTTTTTTTCTTCGAAAATATTTTAATTACAATTCATATAAGTTACAACCATTTCAAGTAAAATTATAAGATATCAATTTTTACCGTAGCTAGGTACCATGTCTTCGAAATGACTAGCGCGTTTTACATCAAACATAAAGTGTCATATATTATTACGAGTATATAGTGCACAATCGCTAGCAATCGAAATTACTAACAGGCTTGGAGTCAAATAAGTTAACCTTACAACGATTGACAATAATATTATATAGGTTCACAGTTAATAATAGATGAGATTATCAAATAAAAAAAAACAAAACAAATTCATTGACACTAAATATTTTATATTTTTGCACCGTACACAGCGAAATCACTGAGGAAATCGATCAAGTTGAGATAACTCAAGATTAATTTTTTAGTATAAGATAAAATGATTAAATGAATACACATTATACATAAAATAGTTATAATACTATACTTCTTAAGCTTTATTATATTTATAAAGTCTGATATCCAATCAGTGATTTTATGAATTAATATATAAAATTATCTAAAATATCAGAAAGTACACTATACATACCAAACCTGTCAAAAATACTAATGTTTACGTAGAATTTTTCAGCGATGTTTGCCAAATTATTCATTAACCAATCTATTTTAAAAATATAAATATAAAAGGTTAAGGTACCTATTATTATCGTATTTATAGTATATTTAAATTATTCGCTTCTTTTGTATTTACTTTTATGCTTTTCGATCATTTTATTATCAGGAATTTTAAATAAACACAAAAGAACGTTGATTCGTATAGATAATTGAATCTATTACGAATTAATAGAATCTCATTAATAATACATTAGAAATAACTATTTATAGTTTTTATGCAGAAGTCGTCACTTTTCTTCATGAAATAATTTCATGGTGGTTTTTGCGCAATACATGGATATGTTTATAATCAATTCGATAAAAGCTCAACACAGTATCAAGTTAAAATAACAAAATATTATAGATAATTTAATTTATATACGCTATAAATGTGTAATGTATTGATGTGGATTGCGAATGAAATCGTCAACCCGCTGTATATTGACGTAAATACATACTTGTGATTATTTGACATAATATGTCATATGAGCATATTATAACTAATGAATAATAAAGAAAGTAGATAGATATTGAAAAAAAAATGGTTTTTAATATTGTCCTTGTGTTTAAAAACTGTATTATTATAGCCTATTTAGGAATTATATTTTTAAATGTAAATTTTAATTTTAATATATGATTATTGTTATAGCTATTAAGTTTTATAGGTACTAATAAATTAATAAATAATCCGTAATTAAATAAAAACAGATTTAAAATGATTAATTTCACAATTCATCGCATGAATTTGAAATTTAAAAATTAAAATTATTTTAATAATATGTAATCTATATTATTATATTTATATTTATCAATTAAATTTTGTAACTTTTTGCATTTTTTTTTTTTTGTTTTTGTTTTAGAAATGCGATAGTTATTTGATAAAGTGTTAGTATTTCTAAATGAAAATAAAATTTCTGCGATATAATTGAAAAATTAAACCGTCATAGAGACTTTAATAATTCAAAAGTTTCGTATATTTTACAAACGGGAAACAGCTGAAGTTGTCGGGCGCAGTTTACATTACACCTTTTTAACATAGATAAAACTTCAGGCGTAGTTTACGTATGCCCAATAAATTAATACACCTTCTCTACTGTCAGTTTTTTAACCATATTTATGTCTTTTTTTTCACTTTTGAACCGACGCCGCCGTGGGAACCATTTTTGTGCCTAAATAGTATTGTTAGTAGGTAATTAATAATTATTATAATAACAATTCTACAGTACATATTATTGCAGCGTTCCCCACTCAGATTTTGAAATGAGCTAAACATTAATTTTAAAAATGACTTGTGGTCCACATGCAGTGAATTAATTTGAACTTGCGTTAAAAAAATTAATGAAAAAACTTAAAAAAAGGTTTTTGATGACCATGTTTTTTTTCTACAGGAAAAAAATTCATAGTTTCTAGTTCCATTTTTAATAATAATAATTAAAACATATAAGAATAATAAGATAAGATAAATAAAAGATATTGTAAAATAAAATAAAACCACAAAATAAGTATTTTATTTTATTTTTTCTAAAATGAAAATTATTAGATTTTAGAATGTAGGTACAATTTTGTTTCAATGCGGGTCACGCAAAATTTATCAAATGACCGTGTAGTGGAAACCACTGGTATAGTGGTATATTATAACGTATATTTATGATTTTTATATAATATTTGATAATATTATGCTATTTTTATTTTTGATATATTTCTCATAAGTCATAACTCAATGTAAAATAATAATATTAAAAAAAGCTTTCTGGAGCACAATTTAATACGATATACTCCTTCGCAAATGTTATAAATTATAATTAATAAATATTTTGCTCTAATATTAACTATTTATAAACTTTAGTAATAAATAATAATCATATTGTAAGTAGATTTGTTGTGTTATCTAAGTATCAGACAGAGACAAGTCATGCGGGTACAATGTCCTTTTTAACACAATTATATAAATAAAAACTGTATTTATTTTACAATATTATAATACAACAACTATATTATATACTTTAATGATGATTAATTTAATTGTTCCGAGCTCTCGCAAATAATATACATTTTATTATTTCACAATACTTTTTTATTTTTATACATAGATAAACCTTTCTTAGAATTTTTAAGTACTAATATAAAACTCGGATTTCTTATCGGCAGAATAAATTTTACCAAGTACGTTGTACGTATACCGATTTTCAATATTCGTTTGTCAAAACTTGTCTCATACAGGTCAGTAGTCAGTATTTGGGTCCTGTACTATGAATATTCAAAAATAAACACCAAAATCCAAAGTGTATTGATAAGATATAAAAACATAACATATTATTTCGGTACAGATAAAATAATTATTTAATTTTTCTTATTTCTTTTAATATATAGTGTTTACTAGTTAAAATATTAATGAATTCACAGTGAGGTTAGGTATGAGGATCTATAAATAAGTGATATGAAAATATTGTTTATCACTATTACTCTAGGACAGTTTTGAAAGCTACACCAAAATAGTAAAACTTTTTAGTCACACTATCATAATATATATTATGTACACTGAGTAGTGAATTATAATATTACCAGAACTTTTCTGGACCATATTGCATATAATAATAATTATATTATTGTAACTACTAACTTGTAAGTCTACTATGAGGGCACCAGACTTGGCAATTATCAAAATTATGATTAAAAACGAGTGACGACGCAAAAGAAGAAAAAATGAGGCCCCGGGCGCGTATTTCAAAAAGTCAAACTTGATTTGGGACGCAGTCACCTCAAATACTTTACTACACATTTAGAATGTATACTTTGTATATTTTTGTAGGTAATATTCATAAAATAGCACTTTGTACATATTTTTATTTTTATTTATATTAAAATTAGCTAAAGTATTAAAATTACTATTGTTTTTTCTCTTAAGTCATTAAATATTGTTATTTATAGATAATATGATAATAGATTTTAAAATATTAATGTTTTGTTCATACACCTTAATATATTATTGTAGGCAAAAGTACTATTATTTATAATTATTAATGTTTCAAGTTATATTTACAAGGAATAAATAAGTAGGTAAAAAGCTAAAATATAATTATCTATTTACACATTTTACGAAAAAATATGCATTCATATAATCATATGTATGCCATTAAATTTATATTTTTATACAATATATTGTGTCTATCCTATTGTTTTTTACTTTAGCGTAAAATTGTGTGTAGCAATATAAAGTAGTCATTTATAGAAACATATTTGAGGTGTATTAAAAAGAAAAATGTATTATTAAACTTTAATTATTATGCATTTACGTGGCTAGCGACTGTATAGTAATACAATATAATATACTTTATGAATATTGCCCATAACAGTATAAGGAACGTAAAACTAAAGGTTTTACGAAATTTCAACGATTTCGGGGTGACTATGCCTCAAAGCAGTTAATCTTCTGAAAAACGCTCCCCGGGCAGATAACTTTTGCCGCCACAATAAAACTGGCACGCGCGAGTCCGTACGCCGCCGTCATCGTGTCACACGTTCCGTTTGCCGCCGCTGCCGCCGCGCTACCAGCGGCCGCGTCGTCGTTGTCCGGCGTCGTCGCTATGCCGTCTTTACCGGCCGCCGAACATGTGCGTTCGAAGTGCGCGCGCCGAACGGCGGCACATAACCATACACACGCGCAGCAATACGTGCGCGCGCGCGTACACACACATACAAACTCATGCACACGCCACACGGACGTTCGTACACACACACACACGTGTATTGTACGTCGTGGAGTACTGCGCGTGCGTAGTCCGGTTCGCCTCCTCTCCGTCACCGCACCATCACAACCGGCCAGGTATTTCATTGTCACTCGTCTTGGCGCTCTCGAACGTCGTCCGGTACCGTCGCCAATTCGAGAATATTATAACACCGACGACGACGACGACGACGACGGCGGCGAAGACAACAACGACTGTTTCAGTATAGTACATTTATTATTATAATATATATATTTTTCAAACATTCGAACGATCTTTTGTCCACGTTCGGGTTAACCGCCAAACCTATAAGTATTGCAATTACAACGAAGGTGATCAAAAAAAAAAAAAAACCGTTAGTCGCACGTTTTTTTCAAACGACGCTCAAAACATATTATCTGTGTGGTGACCGGCTCGTGTTGTAACACACGATGACGACGGAAACCGCCAAATCGGTGTTCGCCGTCGAGGGACACCCGTGTTTCAAATACAAGCTCAATGATCCAAAGGCATTTTGGAACGGTGCTGGTGCCGGTGTCGGAATCGCCGGCAACCACCAAGTACTGCAGGCCACCGCGTCCACCGAACGATTTTGGGAAGAAGAACCGGAGGAGAAAATTAAGCGGAAAGTGCAAGATGCTAAGATCAAATTCCACAAGGACAGACAGCTACAGGTCAAGCACTTGCCCAGAAACGTTAGCGAAGAGGTGAGTAATGTAGATTGCAAAGTAACATTTTAAACTAACTATAGCACTAAGTAATTGTAGGTGGTTAAGTAACTAATAAGTAATAAGTATATTAGTACCGAAGTAACTAACAAGTAAGTTTCAGTAGTAGTCCTTACTTAGCAATGAATAGTTTGGAAACGTATTTTTCGCGTTTAGAAGTGATTATAATTCGTACTTGTAATAATTGATTACGACCGAACGATATTTTATAATCTTCGACACCGGAAATAGAACCGGGAAATGCCCTGGGGTCATGTTTTTGTGTGCCCGCTAGGCGGTCCTTATACGTTGGCCTTTAGATTCGGCCTCGTCTATCCTGAAACTGCGTCATCGTCTCTACAAAGATGATTTTCGACCTTAATCCAAACGTTTTTATAATAATCGCACACATTGTTTGTCGTACCGCCTGGGTTGATGCACGATGGCTACGCGCAGACCGAATCAAGATAATCGATCTAATTTTAACTGCGGCTTCCGACATAAATCGTAATTATGGGTTGACAATTTGACATTATCATTGACAGCTCATACGACAAGCTCGTATCACATCGATTCGGATTTCCCCAAGTTAAAACTGGTTACGCATGTGTCATGTCGCGCGAATATTCTCATTGAAAGCGGTCGGTCTCGTTATTATTATTGTCGTTGCAACGCATCGTTTTAACGTTAAATAGAGAATTGATTAATAGGTACAGGTACTACTTCCGACGATTTTCGTATTAATTGTGTATCTACTTAATTGAGGAGAACCTTACTTACAAACATCCAACGACTAATATATAATATTATATTTATGTTAGTACTTTGTGACTTAAGCTGCATGACTAGTAATTTGAATAATATTCATTTTAATAACGTCCTCTGCGAATTGTAATTTTTAATTTTTGTTTTATCCCGACTGCCATTTTTACAAAATCCATTTTACGAAAATGCTTTTTGTAATGTAAATTAGTTGGGGTAATACTATAAAATGTTTTAAGTATATTGAGTTAAAAATTGTATACAGAGACCGTTGCGGATACGATACCGGAACGGGAGTGAGTCTCCCGTATTTTTTTAAATGGTGTATCCGTATTCAATCTGGTATTTAATTATTATCATTATTTAATTAATGCTATTTCTATTTTAACTTTTATTAAAAAAAAAAATGCCTATGATTATATAACACTTTTATCTTCCTCATTCTTATTAATTGACTGAAGTGATTATTTAAGTAGGCACCTACGATCTACGAATAAATACTTCGGCAATACTCGTATTTATTAAACTAATTAGTAATTAAATAAGTAAAATAGATATTTTTAACATTAAAAACAATTTTTAAATTCTAAAACACTATTTTGTAAGCATATAAAGTATAATTAAAAGTTGATTTAACAAAATAGGTAGCTTATTATATTAAAATAATAAATATTTGTTCTATGTATTTATCTACACTTAATGTTTATTTACGATTTGTATACGTTGAAGTGATATTTTATGTAGATGTATTATATTCATGTAAACGTTAGCTACTTTTATTTTTCAATTCAATCTAATAGGAAAAACTATATTTAACTCTGTGTTACCTAAGTAGAAAATAGTTAGGTATACCTGTCCTAAATATTTTCTTGTTAATGCTTTAAAATATTTACCACATACTAAATTCTATGTAAGTTAAAAATAATAGTACTTAATGTAATATATTAGTAAAACGTGTGGTAAAACTAATCAGCAGTATATTATTATAATTTTACAGTTTTCCGTTTATTATTAAAATTATTGAACGTAAAATAATTAATGTGTGCACAAAAATATGAAATATTAGCGGACGTTGAATGTTTTTTTTTTTTTATAAATAAATCAAGATATAAATGCATTTAATAATTATATATAAAGTTTAATATAATTTTATATAATAACAATTGATTGTTTACCATTGATAAAAACAGTATTAGATTTTTTTCTTAACTTCAAAATTTCCGTTAAAAATTTAATTTTATTAGACGTAGATTTTGAAAAAAAATTAAAAATACCCCAACTTGAGATAAATGTAATGTTTTATTTAATGATTTAATTATTTCCTTTATTTAGAGAAAATTGGACGACTTGTTTTATTAAATTTCTGAAAAAGTTGAATGTAATAATGTATTTTTTAACGTTTTATTATCATAAATTAAAATAATTTATTATTAATTAGAATAAATTATATTATTAAAGTATTAGACTGAATAATCATTTCATAATAACTATTTAGTTGTATTTTTCTTTCTAATCATTTAAATAATATTTATGTGATCCAAATGACAAGTATAAACAATAAAGTAATAGGAAATCACATTTTTACATTTATAAATCAGTATTCACTGGAGTTTGTATTTTCTATATTACTATATAGTATTTTATTGTACTTTTTTAGTAAGTTCTTCATAATATTTTGTAAAGGAATATCTATTGCGATTTGCTGTTATTAATTTTTCAGATACATTGCTTATCATACTTTGAATCACATAGCATATTTAAGGTAGTTTAGTTGTCACATTGTTTGTGCATCATGATAATATAATATTTTGTTATTTTACTTCGTTTTATTTCAATATAAGATGCTGTTTAATAGTATAATGCCTATTTAATTAAATTTATTTGCGATTTTCTATACTAAATAAATATTACCTAATTAAAGAACGTTCAAATTCAAAAGCCAAAAAACATTACGAGTTTGTTGCCCTCTTTGATTTGGCCTTGTATCTACTTCAAATTATTATACAAGAAAAATATTTTTACCCAAATCACTACGTAAATACCGGTTATTATGTCTTATTACTAACGTTGAATTTTGTTAACTGGATATTTTATTTACCCATCACTGGAATAAATCTTATAGAAAATTAACTAATTGATATCAATCGGATAATAGATAGCCCCGTTAATTAATTGAATATTTTAAGATTGAGGTTCAACATTTTATTTAAATACGATTGTTAAGAGTTAAGATCTACTTATATTTATAAAAATTGTGAGTAAAAAAAAAATTAAGTTCATTTTTTTAAAGCATATTTATACTATTATAAGCGCATAAGTGCTTGCATAGTTAGTACTTTTTAACTGCATTAAGTTCTTTTGCGGAATCCTGTTCTTTGTATATCATATTTAGGTAAGTAGGTATATATAATATTGTGTATATTGTACCTATATAATATGCAGGTTTTAAATATTCAATGTATCTACTCAATTTTATGTTAAATTACAAATATATCTAAAAAGGTATATATATTTCATATTTTACAAATAAATGTGTTACTATTATATATAATAGTAGTATATCATTCATTTCTTTATATTATACGTGATTTATTTAACAACAATACAACCCATCATTATTTTTTTCTCAAACTCAGTAATTGAGTTCCTGACTCTTCTTATTTTAATTTACAATCACTTTCTAGAATTAATAAAATAAGTTAATAAAATTTTATATAGACTTATTAATTATTTCTTATTATTTAATATTAAAAAAATGTCTAGTACGATATTTGTAATATTTTAGAATTTATAAAATTAATTTTTAGTCTATTGTATACTTTATTTAACACCGTAAATGTTGACAAATCTAGATTATAAGCTAACCACGAAAAAATTAAATTATACTATATTTATTTAATCATCTCTTGAGTACTTCAAATGTGCTTTTATTAGCATTGAATTCATATATTCTGAAAAAGAATAAAATTACAAATAAAATAAAACAAATTATAAAATATTTTATTTTATTGTTTCTTATAGATTCATATACTTAACCTTTATATATCCGTGTATAAATAATATATAAACTATAAAGCATATATTATTATATCATAATAATTATTAATATATTAATAATTAAATTGTATTATTAATTTAGAAAAACGGTTTACATGAAGTTTTTTCCAAATAAATAGAAAAATTATTATATGAAAAGTAGGTATATTATATTTTAAATAAAAATTATCTTTCTAAAAAATAAAAAAAAAAGTCATAAAACACAATGTAGTTTTAAAATAATATTTTTAATTTTTCGGTGTGCTCATGTTTTTACCAGTTTATGTGTAGTTTTAGGACACTAAATTTATGAAAATAAATAATTGAAATTGAAATCATATTATAATGAATAATGATTATACCTGCTTAACTAAAATTTAAATGTCATTAAAAGCATATCTTTACTAATGAACTCTCGAATGAAACGAATCTTAGAATAACTGCAAAAAATATCTATTCAATTTGTAATACCGTGAAATGTATTTTTGTCTTGATTAGCATACTTTAAAATAAACAAAAAAAAATGTAGATGCTATATAGTCTTTACTAAATCTATGCTCTCCAATCATTAGGTACCTACTTGTTTTTGTTAAATCATTATTATTTGTCAAATAATGTACATAATTTTGTACAAAACTAATAAGTATCTATTTATTTATACATTTATAACCAGTCACTACAAGTTTCTCAAGTGCTCTATGACTCACATTTCACAATTTCAATAAAATGATGACGTGAATTCAATATAAAACCATGAACCCTGACCCGACACATGACAATTCGCGCATCATACATACGCTACTCATAACAAACGTACCTACCTACATAATAATATATTTATTATATATTATGTTACGCATGTTAACCATCTTGTTGGTCATAGTTTATATCAATAAATAGTATTATAAAATAATTATTATATTAATATTAACTTATAACAAATAAACATCTAAAAAATATTAATTAAATTATAAATCACTGTTATAATTGTATCTTGTATCCTGCATATTAGTATCTATAGGGTATGGGTATGTAATATACTGCTACTTTGAATAATTTTATAAAATGCCAATTTTACATGGTTTTTAACGCAATATTAGGATTCATATTTTATTTCGTTACTAGGTGGGAGAGAAATGACGTGACTTGAAAACGTGATTACTTGATATTTTATTTAAAAACAAGGATGAAATTGAAGAGTT